TCTCTCTCTCTCTCTCTCTCTCTCTCTCTCTCTCTCTCTCTCTCTCTCTCTCTCTCTCTCTCCCTCTCCTACTTAAGAATCTTGACTCTTAATGCACCCACGAGCAATCAGCTCTAATCTTGACTCTTAATGCACCCACGAGCAATCAGCTCTATCTCCTACTACTAGCTATGCGGCTATGACCGCCTTCCCTCTCAGCACAGTGTTGCTGAGCAGGGCTCTCGCGTATGCCACTTGCAGACAGCGCACAAGCGCTTCAGTAGCACTTCCACACTTCTCACGAATGAGGCATCCTTTCTCTTAGCGAAATTATTCAGGCTCTGAGTGGCGGTCAGTCCATGTTCTGGACATTGCGGCAGCTCGTCCATAGTGACCTTGAGTGCCGACGCACTCTTCCACTTGCGGTCGTTAATGTTAAGGATGAGGGACTCAATACGACGAGCTAAGTTCTTATTCCTGAAGCGGTCCTTTAAGGCCTTGAAGAAGTCCTCAATCCTAATGCGCTGTGCGTCCGACTTCTTTCACTAACGAAATAGCTAAGCCTGCTGCGTCTCCCCCTAATGCGCTGCAGACCCCAATCTCGAATTCCAGGGTCACAAGCTTTCAGGCCAAGGGAGGCCAAGTCGGTCAGTTTCAGAACGGTCACAATCGGGTACCTTAGGAGTCAAATCCAACGGGCACCCGGTGAACAGTCGCATCCCAAAGGCAAAGGTTGCATTCTATACACAAAAGTCACGTCCCATATTAAAAAGTCATATCCCATGGGCGAAGGACACTTCCCCAATGCATGCTAAAGTCATGTCCCAGAGGCAAGAGTCACATCCCACAGTCAAAAGTCATTTTCCACAGACGAAAAGTCGTGACTCATAGTCCCAAGCAGCAGCACACCAATGAAATTCGGGAAAGTACCAGGCCTTGACATTCTGAAGCAAACAGACCGTGGGCATGTGGTACCAGGTCCGAGTTAAGCCAAGGAAGTAGAGGCTGGGACGAGTTAAGGCTCATTCCAAGTCAATATAAGGACTGGCCAGCCACATTGGAAGGCAGATGCTCATTCGTGAGACGTGTGGAAGTGCTGCTGAAGCGCTTGTGCGCTATCTGCAAGTAGCATGCGCGCGAGAGCCCTGCTGGGAAGCGCTGCACTGAGAGGGAAGGCGGCCATAGCCTCATAAGTTAGTAGTAGGGATAGAGCTGAGTAGCAGTGGATGTATTCAGAGTCAAGATCTTGAGTAGAGAGAGAGAGAGAGAGAGAGAGAGAGAGAGAGAGAGAGAGAGAGAGAGAGAGAGAGAGAGAGAGCCAGGGAGAGAAGAGAGTCACCCACCTTAGATGAGGATGCTGTTATTGGGTTGCTGAACTCTGCGCTGTTGAGCGCTTGGCGACTGGAGCTCCGAAACTGTTTAATATGATAATTTGTTGGAATTTCCAAGCTACGCATATCTGGACGTCGCATCTCTGGACTCCAGTGTGGAATTCGTGTAATCTCTCAGTGTGCGTGTGTGTGCTGAAGGTGTCGAGCAGCGAGGCTCAATGCATCTCTCTCTCTTTGCCGGGACCCTATGGGGGAGGTTCAGACCCCCCCGAGCACTGTGCTCTTTTTTGGGGGGGTAAGTACGTTTCAGTCACGGTTGAGTTCCGTACAGGCAAAACGAACGCAGTCAGTTTGAAAAGGCGCTACAAGCACGGTGTGACTTCCGAAAGGCGTGCCAGAGTTTTTGCACGCTGGGGGCAGTGGTGTGTGGACTGCCATTTCATGTTGTTTTTGCCTTTTTGAAACTGCAGCCGTGTCCGAACTGCCATTTCGTGTTGTTTTTTTGCCTTTTCAAACTCAAAACCTGATGCAATTTCCTTTTTTTTTTGTGTCAAACCGAGGAAAATCGTGAATGTATACAACCTAGCTTTAGGGTCGAGTGGGGATGTGCTATATTCGAGTGATGGATGAACTGGATTTTAAACTGAGATCGTGACTACGCCCTAGTTACCCCTTTTTTTTGTTGAGATCCGGACAAATCTGGGCACTGCAGCCCAATCTGGAAAGTCCGGGTCTGGTCTGTTCGGATGTCCAGATGCTGTCCGGAAATCCAGACAGTTGGGAGCAATCAGAACCAAGGGCCAGCTGGACGTCCAGATCCGTCCGGTGTCCAGGTGCGTCGAACTCTGTATAAGTGTGCCCTTCTGCATTTTGTACTGTTATTCGAGTGACCCAGCACACGATCGTACTGAAACCCCATCAACCATTTTTTACCTCGACACCCATAATTCCCTTGCCCAGCATTTTCATCATCAGGGTCCTTAGAAATTCCTAGCCCTTATTAGAGTTGAGGCCTAAGTTATTTCTTGCAAGATGTCCCCCTGCACATTTGCACCAGAGGGGTTAGATTGCAGGGGTCCCACCTTTCCTGTCCCCCTGCATGTTTGACAAATGTGTACCCTTTGGTAAGATTGGTTCTTGTGCGGAATTTGCCATCGATCCGGCATTTGTCTCATTGGACTTGGAATTTTTACATGATGCTAGCGTCGTTTCCCTCTTTGAATTCCCTTTGTTATGACACTGCAATCAAATTGGAATGCTTTCTTGAAGACTTTTGAAGTTGACTATCATGAACTCATGCATCTGTTATGCAGGTTTTTGCTGGCATCCAGTATGCATTCCCTCTGCTTTCACCGGGGATCAAACGTTCACTTATGTACGATCAGGAAGAGATTGATGTCATGGCTGCCGCCAAGGACTTCTCTTGCAGCTTCAAGTTCGTTGCCGCACTGTTGATGAACTACTTGAGTACCCCTCTTGTTTTAGTGATTGGTGCTTCATTCAATGTCATCGGGTTCCTTTCGGTGCGTACATGGCGCCCACATTTCTTGACAAAAGGTCCCACAATACCCCGTCTTCAGCCTTCTGCCTTATCCCCCTGTTTTCTGCCTACCACAACTTACTTCCCTCGATGTCGTCGAGTTCCTTGCGGTGCGTACATGGCACCCCATTCGTGGTCTAAGGCCCCGTAGTACCCCATCTTCAGCCTTCTACCCTGCCCCCCTGTTTGGTGCCCTAAAAGTACTCAGTGCTTCCATCGATGTCACCGGGTTCCTTGTTCATACATGGCACCCCATTTGTCGACCCACGATAACCCACACTCAGCCTTCTGCCCTGTCCCATTGTTTTCTGCCTACGGAAACCCATACTTGCCTGCTTTCCACCCCTCTCTTCCTCTTCTCTCTCCCTATCTCCCACCCTTCTTCCCACTCCCTTCCTCCTCCCCCTTCCCCCCCCCCCCTCCCCCCCCCCCCCCCCCCCCCCCCCCCCCCCCCCCCCCCCCCCCCCCCCCCCCCCCCCCCCCCCCCCCCCCCCCCCCCCCCCCCCCCCCCCCCCCCCCCCCCCCCCCCCCCCCCCCCCCCCCCCCCCCCCCCCCCCCCCTCCCCCCCCCCCTTCCCCCCCCCCCCTTCCCCCTCCCCCTTCCCCCTTCCCCTTCCCCCCCTCTTCTTGACGCCCCTTCAACCCCCTTGCCCCAAAGAATGTACGTATTCATTCATACTGGTGCGCAAGACTGTTCAGCTTCCCAAAGGACTGCGGGAACAGAAGCGGATTGTCACACCTCTTTAGTCGGCGCATGGCATGGGTTGGCGAATGAAGGTGGCCGCGGCCCGCCGGTGATATTCACCTGCAGCCTGCAGGATGTAGTGGTTACATCATGAGGGTGGATTGCCATCCCGGGCTGCCATATCGCATCTGTGTGAATCACATTGCAATCTTGTGTAAATTTCTACACAGTAATATTTTGAACGACGGAACTTTTGCGTGTTCTCGTCAGTGCGAGCTGTCTTCATTTATCTGAAGGCTGTTTTGCCTGAACCCATTAGAATCTTGTGTCGTTTTTGATAGGGTTCATAAACCCTCCATATCAGGTGCTTCGTGAGTTCTGTGCCGGAATTACCGTCAACCCCTGCTTAGGCAGAGCAATCAATAGCATGAGGCAATAAAGATACTCCAGGTTTAGTTGTTTGGCTGCATTATGTAATTGTCGTGCAGCTTGGGCGGTTGATCCCCTGCGGTCTCCCAGGGCAATCAATGCTGGCAGGAACTACACTGTCAGGTCCACATATTGCATGGTGCCACTTCGGGATGCTGGTCGGTTTTCCAGCAGGTGATGCACCCCACCAATATTGATAGGAACCGCAAACTGTGGGTGCTACGACTAGGGGATGCTCGTGTCACCCCTGATATCACCCTGGGCAGCGTTTACCACCAAAAAAAAAAAAAAAAAAAAAAAAAAAAAGCACTTACCCCAAAGATAAATGGCACATGATTCCCTTTAGCCAGTCAAATACAATGTCTTCACTTCCCAAGGTTTTTCAAGAAGGCTTTAAGTAGGGGAGTTGAATGGAGAATAGTAGAATACCCAAGAGCCTAGCTCAGTGGGTACACCCATGAACTGTTCAAAATACAGACCCGTGTTCGAATCCAGATGACGATGGAACTTGGTTGATGAGTAAAAGTTGCAAAACCAACTATATTTGAATTGCCTGGGGCTGGTCAGCTCAATGGTGATATCTCAAGGACGTCACCCTTTTATCAAGAAAGGGCGTGACTGGAGAAACCGCTGACGTGCTCCGAGCACGAGCAATCGGACTCAATGAGTACATTCGCGAGGGTACAAACGCCGTGTTGTAAGCGATAATCCGCATTAACCCCAATTGCAGTGGGCACAGACCACTGCCACACAAGTAGCCTGAGGAGGAGGCCTACCACTAACCTCCGGCCCTCCGGGGAACCTGTGATGAAAATCAGAGCAGACTCCAGAGCAAAGATTCCTAGAATTAAAAAATCATTCCATAATAAAAAATGACTCTAAGATTAAATTTATCAGTCCATCTTAAACAATATCATTTGATTCATTTCACTTTTGAAATTTCCCAGCTTACTTGGAAACTTTCCTTCCAAGAAGGGAGTATCCCTTTTAGTTTTTTTTTTTTTTTTTTTTTTTTTTTTTTTTTTCCCCCAAACCTCCCCTTTAGTTTGAATTGCATGCTAGAGATGGAATGAAAGTCTAGACGAGTTTATGAAATATTTTAATTGCACTATTATCATTCTAGCATGATTCTACTCTAGTATAAGGGTTTTTTGTCAAAAATAGGTTAATCTAATCTAAATTAAGATTTTTCATAAACTCGTCCAGACTTCCATTCGAACTTTGACAAATAAATGTAGTTGGACGGGAAAACCCATTTCTAGATGGAAACTCGTCAAATGAAACTGAAAAAACTTAGAATTGGAGGAGAATTTTCTACTTTTCTACTTTTGAGTCGTTTGGAGTGATAATTTTTAAATATGAAGGATTTTTTTTTAACAGAATATTTTGTCATCTTTCATTTCTTGTGAGAACGATCACCCACCTATACGAGTCAAAAGACTCTCCAGAGTCCATACCTTTTCTTTTTTTTTCCCTCTTCTTTTCCTTAAACAGCCCAAGTGGATGCTATGGACGTTGATAAGAGCAGGCACCACTAAGACTCTCCAGATCTTTGATTAACACCTAATGAAAAGCCAGTAAAGGCCCCCACGAAACAAATAAAGGTGTGCCTCGAATCACGGCGAGGAATCGCGCTCTAGACACCGCTGGCACTAGAGGTATGGCATAACTGCCTAGCGATACCCCCCGACCACTGCTGCTTAGAACTTGACTAGTAAAACCACCAGTACCTCGCCCAACCAAAAAATCCCGATGTGGCCGGCCGTTAACTCGCCGCTTGTGTCAGGGGTCGGGGAATTGAACGCCTGGTCGCTGTTAAAAGACTGGGCAAAATATAGGAAACGGGGAGGGAAAAAAGAAAGCACTTATTTATACTAAAACAAGAAATAAAAGAAAAGAAAAAAAGCGGGAAGATTCTAACAGACACACACACACACACACACACACACACACACACACACACACACACACACACACACAGAGAATGAATTTTCCCCTGTTCACGAGGTCAATTCATTCTCATTTCAGGACTTATGAACGGCGCACGGATGGGAGAGAGAGAGAGAGAGAGAGAGAGAGAGAGAGAGAGAGAGAGAGAGAGAGAGAGAGAGAGAGAGAGAGAGAGAGAGAGAGAGAGAGAGAGAG